TCCTCATCCTTCTTGAACTGGGGAGCCCAGAACTGGACCCAGTGCTCCAGGTGGGGTCTCAGCAGGGCAGAGCAGAGGGGGAGGAGAACCTCCCTCGCCCTGCTGGCCACGCTCCTCTTCATGCACCCCAGGATGCCACTGGCCTTCTTGGCAACAAGGGCACCCTGCTGGCTCATGGCCAGCTTGTTGTCCACCAGGACTCCCAGGTCCCTCTCGGCAGAGCTGCTTTCCAGCAGTTATAATCCAGCTTAACTATGTCTACATTGAGGAGAACAGATTATTTTGCTTGTAGCAGCCTAAAGAAAGCAACCGAGTGTGGACAGGAAAGCTCTGTCAGTCATGAGCTGCTCAGGACTGCGACTCCCTGGTTAAAGGCTCACACAAAAGGGCCCCATCGCAGCTGAAGCCTCCGGGCTTTCCCACAATACAGACATTACCAGTGTCTGATGGGCATTTTGCAACGTATGATTTAGAAATGGAAGTGTTTTGCTTTGCCTTTTTAAAATGTGTGAATAGAAAATAAAGTATGAAGACAGTTAAGAACACGATTAAAACTTCACCCCACCCATTTGCAGCTGCTCCCAGCTGAAATCCGTAAATCTGGGGGGAAGAACAAATGACACATGAACACCAGTTACGCTAACGCACTAAGAGAAAAGAATCTTTCACCAAAAGATGAGCAAACGAGTAAGGTCCTTCTTCAGAAGACGATTCTTTAGTTCACATACTTCAGTGCCAGTGTCTTACAGCTGCAGAGTGGTGGGAGGTGTCAGTCTGTCCACTGGAAAAGGGACCAGAAAGACCGAGGGACACAGTCCTGGCTTGACAGGGGCATCGTGGCCAAACAGCAGCTCTCCTGTGCCCTCCCTTCCCAAGGAGACAACTGTGGTGCTGTTGAGTGGCTTTAACTCAAATAGATAAATAAAAAAACCAGAGAAAGCAGCATTCTGGTGATCCGCTCCCTTCTCATCTTACCCAGTTGTTCTCATTTACCTGCTCATTTCCTAATAAGTCTCAGCCATGGTTTAATGCTCTGAAGAAGCTACAACAGAAGCTACTGAATATTCCTCTCTTCAGCAACCTTTACCTTTGTGAGTAATCACAGAAGTTCCTGTGACAACAACTGTAATTTACCTACAGAAAGATGTGTTTTGGAACCACAAAGCGGCATTAAGAATATTTTTCTGCCAGAACAAGTGCATACGACCAAGTTTTACACTAATAATAATCACATATAATAACACTAATAATAATCACAACAATCAGTTCCTGAAATCTGTTGACCTTCCACTGCTTCAGCTGCACCGAGACTCCAGCCCCGCTCTCGGTGAAAGGAAAGGGAGCTTTTCCCCATGGACACCTACGGCAGCAAGCTCAAACCTTTCACAGGCACAACCTCAGGCTCTAGGATCCAACCCAATGATATTTTTGTTCAGTGCTCCAAGATACACTTTCACAGGAGTCTCTGCTTTCATACCTCCCCAGCTCACCACTTAATTTGGGCAGGGTTTCTGCAAACTCTTAATTGCAGGGTCTCGGGATAACAGGCCTCAGATGTACAGTCAGCAAAAGATCTTGTGTCTAATAAGTGATGACGTTGTTCAGCTTGGATGGCCAGTGGCTAAAAATCCTTTAGGGGGAAAATTTCACTGTGCAGCCTAAATATCCTCAAGTCAAGCTCCAGTTGCAAGATCCTGCCATAAGGAAATAGATTGGCAGCAAATACAGATAAACAGGTACGTAAAGAGGTATCATCTAGCCAGGCGTGAATTTGGGCAAGGTAACAACACATATAAAGAAGCTCGCTATCCGTCAGAACATGCTCAGTTTAACTGGGAATAGACAAAACCCAACGTCCTGCACTTCACTGGAGAGATTTCTTCATTTATAATTCAGTATTTGCGGAGGGAGGAAAAAACCTCACATGCTAAGGAAACCACAGTGTGAAGTGAACTTCCCTTTTCTGCTGTGCTCATCCGCGGTCAATGAATAACTGCAAAGTTTACAGTCCAACGCACATGACTCACAGGAGCCCACTGGAGACAGTCGGAGCTTTTCATCACCAGCGTTCCAAAGACAAAAATGCCCTGTGTCATTTTAAGAGACGGCATTTTCCTTTTGAACCAAGACACGTATGCAGGCAGCACTGTTTTTCCAGGCGGACAACAACGTGGTTACTTTGAACGCAACTTTAGTGCGAAACATGTTTCACCACCTCAGGTTAGGGAAAATTTTGCGAAGGAATACCTGCAGCAATCTGCCTGAGGCAGATTATATGACTGCGTGTACGTTACTATTTAGTCCCCTTGTTTATTCTGCCTATGTTACAGTAAACAGTTTTAAAAGTTTCAGTTATTTCTCCCTACTTCTTTCTCCAAAAAGAGAGAAGGGCAGTAGGGGAAATAAATAAAGGACAGAGGAATGGGAGAGCTGCCTGCTTTGTCATAAACCCACCTGGTGACCTGGGGCAAATCCCCTAAGACCAGATTCACAGGACACCAGCTCCTCTCGAGCCATCTGCACGAGCCAAACCCAGAAGAACCCAACATCCTAAGCTTTCCATCCAGCAAAATTCGCCAGCTTCTCAAGTCTTGCTCTAGGCTGTTTTCTGTACTGCTTTTATATTTTCATTCCGATATGATGACTGTAGCGAGGTTAAGAGCTTCTACGCAGATCTGTACTCAAGGGTTTGATCTATAGTACTTCACCAGAAGCAAACCAAGGGGCAGGATCCGTGTGTAACTGCAACGGCAAAACTTGCCAACGCTCCCTTGTAAGACAAGGATTTAACGATTAGAGCACAAGAGGAATGAGGAGAGCCGGGCAAAACGCACATCTCCTGAAAGTGGTCCAAGCTTACCCCTCTGGTGAGGGCTATCGCCAGAGACCAGGCTTTCGGGAGTCACTCCACGCTGCAAGCCAGCAGACCCCAGATATTCTGGAAGAGCAAATGGCCTAAAAGCAATGGCACCCCACAGGGATCTGGGAGATGTGGATTTGAAACCGCCAGGCTCAGCAGGGAGTCAATGCAGCCTCCAGTGTTCCTGAAACAAGGGAACAGCTTGCTCGTACGCCTCTCCAGTTGCATTTAAAAAGAAAGTTATGACTCTGCACTGGTTTTAAGAGAAAAGGTTGGTTTCGAGTCTCATTCAGATGCCCAACTCTTATCAGGAACTTCCCAGAGAGCCCAAAGCAGCAGAGGTCACTCTGCGCAAGGCACCAAAATGCTTGGCTCAGCTTTGTGTACCCAGACTTCGTTTATCTGATACAGTTTGTATTTGATAGTGTTCCCTCTCCCCGCCGCGTGCTGCCAAGCCTCGTGGAGCAGGACGCTGCCCCTTCAGCGACACCGGTGCAATGGTTGCAGTGCCGTGCTTCAGAGTAGATGAGGGGACAAAACCAGTCAAAAAAGTAATTTCAAAAGCTGCCCAGCACGACCAGTGAGAGTGGGGAAAGTGATTATGGCAGCTCTGCCACTGGGAAAATGCACAGGGAATGATAAAGTTAGCAAAGGTCTTCCACATCCGTCCAACACAGCTCCAAGTTCCCAGAGCCTTGTGGGGACTCCTGGCTGTACAGGACATTTTGCTGCCCCCTCCCCTCCTTGTCTCCCACCCTGGGGCTGGCGAGAATCACAGAATCGTTTAGGTTGGAAGTCCTTTTAAGATCATCAAGCCCAAGCGCTCCCCTAACCCTGCCATCCCACCCCCAAACCCTGGCCCTCAGCACCACCTCTGCCCGGCTGTTAAATCCCCCCAGGGCTGGGGACTCAACCCCTTCCCTGGGCAGCCCCTTCCAGCCCCTGACAGC